CCGACCCCTCGAACTAACTCACGCAACCCGAGCAGGTGATCGCCTTATGTTTACGCGTGGTCGTCGCGTACACCAGGTGTTATTTGCTATTACCTGCACATTTTCCAAGTTCCCCTGCCTTCGAACGCAACGTGCCGTTTTTGTTAACCGGTCTGGTGTTGACAGTCGAATATCATTTTCTTATTTCACTCAATTTGGACGAGTTTTTTTTTCTATAAATGGTAGAAACAAGTATATCTCGAGATACATAGCTGTTTCTACCGTTTAACAAAGATACCGTACAAGTCAAATAAGGAAACGATATTCAGCTGTCAATATCGTATTGGTTCGTTAAAATGGCAAACCGTAAAGAAGACCGTCAGAATTGAACCAAATACGAAAATGATATTCTACCGTGAACGGACGAAGCGTATCTCGAGATATATAGCTGTTTCTATCGTTTAGGAAAGAAACCGTTTGAATAAAATAAGAAGATGATGTTCATCAGCCAACAGCAGATCGGTTCGCAAAAATCGCACGTACTGAAATTACTGCGGAATTATGTAAATTTACAACAATTGGAGGAAAAATTCGAACAATCACTATCGAGATCGACCCATTAGGACGATAATCTAATAATTTCCATAATTCTCAACGATAAAACTCCAAAAGGACCGCAGAGGGTTAATAATATTCTGTAACACGACGAAATTAGATTACCAGTCGGCGGTATCTAAACGCTCTAATAGATCGTTAACAACAAGGTATTGATCGATTCGTGGGTTAATTATAGATTCATGGATTAATTCCGGCGAAACGTAGACCGATCGGTTTCGATTAAAGCGAACGAGGGGCCAAAATGTACGAGAACGTTCGAAACGCGCGTACTCCGATTTCGACGAATCCGAAGATTCTTGAAAAGCTGACGAAGTAGAAAACGAGTATACCGAAATTTTCCATGGCTCGTAAGCTACGCAAGCGTGTCGTGGAGCCTCGCGAACAAATATTTTTATAGCGCTCATAGGCAGAACATGATCGGGCTTTTGGTCTCGCGTTTCATACGACCAGCGTAATACGTGTTGCTTGATTCTCGGCCTGGAATGCGAAAATAAGCAATATCGCGTTCCTTTCTGATGATCATGCGCGTCAAGCGTGACATAATTTGCTGCCGATATAGCGAGATGTTGTAATGAAGCATCGATTAACGATACCAGTTACTCGCGCTACCAATCCCAACTGTCACGATAATCAGTCAAAAGTCTATCCGAACAAAATTGTAAATCACCGCGCAACTTTTTTCTACGTCGTTGCCAGTGACCTCGTACTTGATGGCACCTGAAAAAAGAGAATTGCAGAATGGAAAATATGAAAAATAAGAAACGTGAAATCGTGTCGATTTTTAAATTAAATTAGAATCGCATATTCGATGGCTAGCGTTTATATTCGTGACAATTTTCATGCTCGACATGTTCTTCGTCTCATTTACGTTACGGATTTTCTGTTGCAGGTGTCGTTCAGCTACTCGAAAGGTCCGAGGGACGAGTGGAATATTCTAAAGATCGACGGTTTCGATATGAAGGACGATCCGAAAAGGTACCATCTAATCGATATCGATATAGTAGAAAACTTCGTTTGTATGAACTCTGCTTATTCGAGCGAAATTGAAAAGTCCAGTGGAAGGAACTTTTACCGATTGCATCTATCTATTTGTGCGTGAACGCTTATTGTCAGAACGAAGAATCTGGAAGTTGGATGGTCTCCAACGCACGAACCGCGACTATACAGGATGGTTGGTAAGTAGTGGTACAAGCGGAAAGGGGGTGATTCTACGCGAAAAAAGAAGTCGAAAATATAGAATAAAAATCTTTTTTTTAATTTCTTTTTTTGTTAAATTTTTCCACCGAGACAACGATCTACAGCGAGATCGGTTATAACGAGACGCGATAAAGTGCAGGCGTACCGAGCCAAAATTCAAAGTCGATTTTCTCGAAAACAAAGCCTCGAACGAAAAATTTTTATTCTATATTTTCGACTTCTTTTTTCGCGCAGAATCACCCCCTTTCCGCTTGTACCACCAGTTAGCTAGTACCACCCTGTATAAATCATTCGTCAGAGAAATTCATACAAACGAAGTTTAATTTATCTGTATAAGGGTAACGACACGGTACCTATATCCTAAGAATCCTCCTTTTACTCCGTTTTTTTTTGCATTTTTAACACTAACTTCACCAGGCCTAACCCCGATCAAATGACCGGTTTCAAAATTTAATTAAAAATTACAAAATTAAGAATACACTCGCTGTCATTCCTTTTGTTCGCCTAACTTCATGCAAATTCCTATATTAACAAAAATCGAAATATATCGATCGGATAATATACGAATTTGCATATAGACGAACACAAGAAACAACGACGAATGTACAATTTTAACGAAATTTCGAAACCGCTCGCTTGGACGGAGTTAACGTTAGTGTCGAAATATCTCTACCACCGTCGTTTAACTAACTGTCAACGCCAACGTTAAACCATAATCTATCGGTAGAACAGTTTCGACATCTCCGTACCTCGACGAAAATAATTCGTCTTCTGTTTCCATCCGCGTCGCGTTCATCCTCAATTTCCTCGGCGCTCTCTAATGTCTCTTTTTCAACCTGCTCGACAAAAGCATCCGGGAAGGTGTCGAGCCTCGACGGAGCTAATCTATCCTTTTCCTCATCGAGGCAAAGGGAGCACAACAGATAGCAGTCGAGCAAAGGGGAGGGGAAGAGTAATTAGCAGCGGACAGCTACGTGTACCACAGGATCTTCCTGCTTTCGTCCTTTTCCCTCGTTTCGAGGGAACGCGTCGTTCCACGCGCGCATCTTTTTCCTCTCGTTTCTTCGACCCGGTTGCACAGCGCGGCGTAAAGGCTCGAATTGCTCCGGTAATTGCCCGGCCCGCGCGAACGAAAGCGGAAGGGCACCGAGCTAATGACAAAGATGCCACCGTGCACGCCGCGCTCTTAATTGACTTTATTATAATTACCAGTCGGACCGACCTTTTACGACCGACCATTTCCCCCTTTCACCGTTTCATTCTGCTCGCTCGAGACGTTTCGCCGCTCGTTCTACCATTTTTTCCAGCCGACGATTTTCCTAGGCACCGGCGGTTTTATTCTTGCCACGCGACCGAGTTCGGCAAAGATAGGCGAACTACCGTTTCTATGAATATTAACGAGCCTTC